CAGTTGTCTGTCAGTGGGCATTTATGCTGCTTTTATGTCCTAGCTGTTGTAAATAGTGCTGCAGTATACATTGTAGAGTGTATAGGTTTTTGGTGTTAATGGCTTCATATTCTTTGGGTAGACGCTCAAGAGTGGGATTCCTGGCCTATATAGTGATTCCATTTTTAGCTTTTTAAAAAGTTAATACAGATCTCTTTTCTAAATATCTACACCAGTTTATATTCCCACCAACAGTATAATCGGATTTCTCATTCTCTGAGTTGTCTTCAGCACTTGTTGGGTCTTTTTGATATCTGCTGTTCTCACAGTGTGCGATGGTATCTCACTCTGGTTTTAACCTATATCTCATCTCTCTTATTAGAAGTGGTGATGATGTGTGTTGGCCTTCTGGCTCTCCCCTTTGGTGAATTGTCTATTATTATATGCTGTCCACTTATTAATAGGGTTGTTTATTTTGTTATAGCTGATTTGTATCTAAAGCTTTTTAACTTGCGGTAATCCCAATTGTTTGTTTTGTTTTTCTTTCTCTTGCCATAAGTCTCCAAAAATACCTTTATTGTTGATATCATGGGGACACCTCACTAGTGCTTTCTTTTCTACATTTTATTATCATGGAGGTTCTGAATCTTTAATCCACTGGAATCTATTTTTGTTTATGGAGTTAAGAGTGATCCAAGCTCATTCTATGTCCCTTTTGCCCAGCATCATTTATTAAAGAGACTCTCCTTTACACATTGTATAGTTACGGCTGCTTTATCATATTTTAATACTGACATGTACATAAATTTATTTCTGGGTTTTGGATTCTGTTGTGTTGATTCAGGAACCTTTTCCTATGTAAGGACCATGTTGTTTTTAGTAAGGTAACATAATATCCCCGGTTCTTTTATCTCAAGATTGCTCTTCTATTTGAGACTTTTTATAATCCCATATAAATTTTAGTATTTCTTTGAAACATTGTTGGTATTTTGATGGAGATTGCATTAAATCTATGTATTGCTTTAAACAGGAAGTCATTTTGATTATTTTGATTCTTCCCATCCATGAACATGGGATATCCTTCCATCTCATATGTCACTAACTACTTTAATAACGACTTATAATTCTTATTGAATAGGTCCTTCACCTCCTCAGTTAGGTTAATTTCAAGGTATTTAATTCTTTGTGAAGCAACTGTATAAGAAGATCATTGCTTGATTTTTTTTCTTCCCCCCTCCTTCTCCTTTGTTCTTTGTATATAAAAATGCAACATACAGACTTCTCTGTGTTAATTTTATGACCTGCCACTTTGCTATGGTGTTTCTAATGGTTCTCTTGGTTGATGTCTTTAAGATTTTATATACATAATACATAGCATATGTGGATACTGTTAGTCTCACTTCTTTTCTGACCTGGACTCCTTTTATTTCCTATTTTGTCTGATAGCTCTGGCCAAAATAGAAGTGGAAACATTGGGCATCCTTGTCTTGTTCCTGATCTTAAGGGGAAAACTTTTAAATTTTTCACCATTAAATGTTGTATTGGCTGTTGGTTTGTGTTATATGGCCTTTATTATATTGAGGTAGGTTCCTCCTATTGCCACTTATATAGAGTTTTTATCATAAATGGGTGTAAATCTTTATCAAGTGCTTCCTCCGCATCTGTTGATAGTACCATGATTTTATCTTTACTTTTGTTGGTAAGGTATGTTATATTAATTGATATACATATATTAAACCATGCTGGGATCCAGCTAGATCATGGTGTATAATCTTTGTGATACACTGTTAAATTAGAGTTGTTAGTATTTTGTTGACAATTTTTGGATTTTATTGAAAATTTTTGGAATCAATGTTCATCAGGGATATTGGTCTATTTTCCCTTTTTTGCTTCTTTGTCTGGTTTCAGTATTAGGTAATGTTAGCATCATGAAATGTATTGGGGGCATTCTTTATATTTTTAAAAGCAACTGGAACAAGTTTGATAAAATTCATTTGTAAAGCCATCATCTGGTCTTGGACTTTTGTTTTTTGAAAGATTTTTTTATGCGTGCTTGTGAATGGTTTCTTCACCTTATCTTGTTCTTCCTGTGTTACTCTTAGTTGATCTAGAAATTTGGTGATTTCTTCAAGGTTATTGATTTATTGGCAGACAGTTGGTCTTAGTAATCTCTTATGATCTAGTATTTCTATGCTGTCAGTGGTGATTTCTCTTTCACTTGTGATTCTGTATAGTAATATTCTCTCTGTGTGTCTTTGTTAGCCTGTCTAGAAGTTTATTTTGTTTATCTTTTCAAAGGATCAACTCTTATTTTCACTGACATTTTTTAGTATAGTCTTTTATGTCTCTCTTTAATTTATTATAAATTAAATAATTTTATTTTTCTTTCCTTCTGCAAACTTTGGATCTTATTTGATCTTCCTTTTCAAGGTACTGTCAAGGTACTTTTAGGTATAGTATTGATTGTTTATTTGGACTGTTTCTTACTTCTTAATATAGGCCTGTATTGCAATTACTTCCCCCCTTAAGACCGCTTTTGCTACCACACATAGATGGTGGTAGCTTGTATAATTTTCTTTAGTCTCAAGATTTTTTTTTGTTTTAATTTCCTCTTTTATCCAGTAGCTATTAAAGCTGTAAAGTTTTTCCCCATTGTTTTTTTATTTTATTTATTTATTTATTTATTTTTAAAGATTTATTTATTTATTCATATGGAACTGGGGTACAGGCCAGAGATGCAGAGGGTGAGAGGATTTACCAGAGACAGAGCGGGGAGCAGAACAGGCAGATCAACGAAGTACACTGCTGAGGGGAGCAGTGGGCGGGTCAGGAGAGGTCTGCCACACCATGTGGTCACCTCCGGGGCAGGTGGGGATCAAACTCATGCGGAAGTGGCTTAAACTTCTTAGTGCTGTGCTTTAACCTGCTGCGCCACCAAGGAGGGCCTCCCCATTGTTGTTAAAATACTTGATTTCTAGCTGTATGGCATTTTGTTCAGAGAAACTACTTGGTACAGTTTTGATCTTGGTAGTTTTATTGGCAGTTGACTTGTTTCCCAGCACATGATCTAGTTTTGAAAATGTTCCATGTGCACTTGAAAAGAATGTAAATGCAGTGGCTTTTGGATGGATGTGTTCTGTAGATGTGTTAAAAATTTTTTTTCTCTAGCTGCTCATTTAAGGTTTTTGTTTCCTTATTCTGACTTGTATTATTATTGTCTTACATACCTGAGTGCTCCACCCCGGTGCATGTTTGTTCTGCATTTTTTCTTGTTGTATTACACCCTTAATTATAATATAGTCACCACTATTTGCTTTTTTTTTTTTTTAGGCTTATTTTATTTATTTATGCATATAAGAGCTGGGGTGTAGCCAGAGGTGCGGGAATGAGAGGATTCACCAGAGACAGAGTAGGAAGCAGCAGCAGGCAAGACAAGAAAGATCTGCTGCGCCATGTGGGTTAGCTGGCTGGGGGGATCAAACTCGTGCTACAGTGGCTACCATAGTGCTGACACTTAATCCCTTGAGCACCCAGGGAGACCCACCAGTTATATCTCTTATTATCTAATTGACTAATAGTCTCATGCCAGCTTCTAACTCTAGACTATGTTTAAGCACTGGATACAGTGGTGGCCACATACTGTAGTTGAGACAGGCTCAAGTCAGTAAGCATCACTCTGCACACTTGCTCCTGTAGTTCTCCAGTAGAGCATTCTTTGTCCTAGACACCAAATCTTTGCATACACACACCCACACACAACCTCCATCAAAGTGCGGCATTTCCAAAGTGTCTGATGCGGTTATGTGACCATGAGTCAATATCTGTAAGGGACTCTGGACAGCTGCCACTCCTCTCTCTTGTGGGTGGTACTGCCCTGGTATTTCTGTAAACCCAGTTCAGTTAGAGTTGTTCCTACCCCTTTTCACCAGACAGTTGCTCCTGGTGTGTATATAGTTATCCATTTATTTTTTCAGGGATTTTGACTTTGCTATGCAGTTTGGTTGTTAGTATGTGGAGGATACATACCAGAATGTTCTCTTTCCTCTCATCTTGTTGCACTTTATTGCAATTAGTTGTGAGTGTACACTTACATCAAAGTGAAAAGTTTAATTAAAGAAACCTTTCCCAGATCCCTGCTGTTGATGGGAGAAGATTCAAAGACTTTACTGAGTATTCTACCCACTGCTCTCTGTCCCCTGCCCTTCTCCCTCTCCACCAACTTGCTGTGATAACACAGTCTTAGTGGTTGTACCTGTAAAACCCTGCATCTTCCACACCCTGTGAATGCCTCTTCCCTATGAGCATACAGTACCCTGCCTGGGGGTCGGGGGCACAGCATGGAGGGCTGTGATCAGGGTCAGTTTGACTTAGCATACTATGAAAAAGGAAGCAGTGGGCCAGCATGAAGTGTGCATGTGGTGGGTCTGGCTAGGCAGCAGGGAGATCTCCATCAGGGTGCAGTAGAAATCATGCAGAAATCAAGAGCAGGGTGGTGTTTCCTTCCCCCATGTTACCCATTGCTAACGTGGCATTGTACTTGTTTTATTTGATTTTGCACCTCACTCTTCTCACCATATCATTAGACACTTTTTGCAAACAGGTTTTGAAAGTGAGGTCAGCAGGTCTAGACTATTGCTTGTTGCTGGGAATGGGGAAGAGGAAAGCCACTAAAGGTGGGTCAGAAGTCCAGAAGTGCTGTCCCTTCTCTCATGACTAACTCTGAAAGTGATGCTTTGATTGCTTGAGATCCCCTGTGCAGATGTGTCCCTTAGAAGCAGGGGAAAATAATGTTTCCACTCTAAATGAGGTTCATCTCTGTGTCCATAGACTTCATCCCTATTGGGAAGATGTTAAGGGTAGATGTTGAGGACAGGATGTCCAGCAAGAATTCAGAGGACATTCTTGTTAGAATATGAGGGGGAAGTTGACAGAGCTATGAAGAATTGGGCAGCTATGGCTCCTGACCATCTTCCCTCACTGTCCTCTTGCCCCTCGCTGCCCACCCTTGGTTCACTGCACAGGTGTACGCCCATGCAGGCGCCACGCTGGATGGGAAGATGTACATTACCTGCGGCCGTCGCGGGGAGGACTACTTAAAAGAGACACACTGCTATGACCCAGACAGCAATACCTGGCACACTCTGGCTGAAGGTCCTGTGCGGCGGGCCTGGCACGGCATGGCCACCCTCCTGGCGAAGCTGTACGTGATTGGGGGCAGCAACAATGATGCTGGCTACAGGAGGGATGTGCACCAGGTGAGTGGGGAGCTGTTTATACAAACACAATTATTCTCATTTCTTGGAGTTGTTATTGATGAAAAGTTAGTAGAAATTTATACACTTTAAAAATTGGCTTTACTTTTAAAACCAGTTTAACTTCACAGCAAAATTGAGCAGAAAAGTTCAGAGAATTTTCATATCCCACACTATGACCAGTTTGCCACAGTTAATGCACCTACCTTGACTCATCGTCATCATCTTAGTTCGGTTTACATCAGGATTTACCCTGGGATTGTACACCCTGTGAATTTCAATAAATGACATATAATTACCACTTTAGTAACATATAGAATGGTTTCACTTGTTTTTATTATTAAGAGCTTTAATATAATAATAATATAATCACAATTACAGAACTTTTTAAAAGTGGACCAGGATAAGAAATAATACTCATAATCCAGCCCCTGTGCCACAATGTTTAAGTCCTTTTATCTACACATAGTTTTCACCTAATTGTAGGCAGAAGTTTCCCGTTCTGTTCTGGGTGAAGTTAAATTTGTGTTTGCCAGTTTAATATAAAATCTACCTCCTGATTCCAAAGTCCACTTACTGTGTGCACTGTCAGGCTGCTACATCATATGGGTAGTTCTGAGTTCCAAATAATATTGAAAATAATAGTTGAGTATTTTCTCATAATTTGGAGTATTTTTTTTTGGCTACAGCTGTGATTCTTTTTAGGTGTGGTCCCCAGACCAACAGTATCCACACTCCCATGGAACTTGTTTAGTAATACAGATTCTCAGATCCCCGCCACTGAATTGGAAGTTTCAGGCATGATACTCAGCAATCTGTGTTAACAGGCATCCCCACCCCCACCCAGTGACAACTACTGGAACAAGTCACCTTTGATGTAGCAACTTAAAATAATGCAAATACATTTTTTCAGTTCTGTAGGTCTATAATAATTGGTGTCTTCAAGACTCCCTTTTTCATAGGCCTTGGTGAGAATCCAATTCCTTGTTTACTCAGGTTGTTGGAACTTAATTCCTTGTGGTTGTAGGACAGAGGTCTTCTCAGTTTCTCCAGGCCTCTGCTCCCTGGTGCAGGGCTACTTAATCTTCAAAGCCAGAAGCAGCAGGTTGACCTTCTCCCTTCTCTCCTGTCTGGCCTTCCCTTTCTACTGGCAAGGGCTCTTGCAACTATTGGGTTATTGGGAAAAAAATACATTGTGACTTTAACAACTCAATAAATACTCCACTGGGAAAATTTAGGATAACCTGCTTCTTCTATAAGGAGCTTGAGGAGATCCTTAGTCAGTCCTTAGTCAAATCTGTGTATTCCCTTTTGCCATTCCAAAGATGAGGGCATGGGTTTCTTTGGATGCTGTTATTCTGCCTACAATAGCTGGAGAACCAGAGGCAATTAAGTAGAAAATTTGTATGGTTCTTAATATCTATTGCCAAATTGCACAGTAGTATGACTTTATTACACTTCCACAGCACTGGACTAGTGCCACTAGTTTGTTAAACATTTGTTCTTGGTGTTTTTTGCATGTCTTAGGTCAATAATAGATCCAATTCTTTCCCATACATTTGGACTAATTTTGAAGATAACATTGATAGTCAGTTTAGTCAGCTATTGCTAGTAACACATTTTGCCTGTACTTTCCTCTGGTATTGGATGCTGTGGGGAAGGTAAATACAGCTATGTAGGTCTCATGTCCTCAGATAGCTTCCATCTTATAGAAGGGTGAGGACCAGCCCCTCAGGTTATGGAAAATAACAGCATGCATGCCTGCACACCCAAGGGCCACAGGCTTGTAGAAGAGCCTGGAGTCAGCCAATGTTAGGCTGGCCTAGAAATGGGACGTTCTGACCCAGGCCCATGTCTTCCTCCAAGGGGCCCACTACATCTGTCAACCTTGCTGTGAGTCCAGTGCCTGTCCAATTGAGTGTTGTCATCCTTGTCCCAGCGGGTGCCCAGCTTTATTCCAGTCTTGGCTTTGCAGGTGGCCTGCTACAGCTGCACATCTGGGCAGTGGTCATCAGTCTGCCCGCTCCCAGCGGGGCATGGTGAACCTGGCATTGCTGTGCTGGACAACAGGATCTACGTGCTGGGTGGTCGCTCGCACAACCGTGGCAGCCGCACTGGCTATGTGCACATCTACGACGTGGGGAAGGACTGCTGGGAGGAGGGACCTCAGCTGGACAATTCCATTTCGGGCCTAGCAGCCTGTGTGCTAACCCTGCCCCGCTCTCTACTCCTCGAACAGCCTAGAGGGACCCCCCATCGCAGCCAGGCTGACCCAGATTTTGCCTCTGAGGTGATGAGTGTGTCTGACTGGGAGGAGTTTGACAACTCCAGCGAGGACTAGGGTCCTAGGGGCCAGTGGTAGAGGGGAAAGATGGTAGAAGCTACGAGGGCAGTGGGAACCCAGGGTGGCCTAGACCCAGAGTACTTTTTCCTGGGGTATAGACAGTCCTTCCTGCTGTCACTGCTGGTTTGAGGCTTCTGCCACCCTTTCTTCACAGCAGCCCCTCCACTGGCCAGCTGCAGGTATTCACAGGGCTGCACCCCTGCAGCTGTGGATTCCCCTATAGTGGGAAATGTTCAAAAGGGCTGTGGCCCTCTGACTTGAGTTTACCAGACCCACTCCTCAACCCGGATGGGCACACCACACCAGCTGTCTCAACCTTTCTGCTCCCTGGCTGGTCCTTGAAAGATACCTGCTCCAGTGGAACCGGGGGACTGGCATCTGGTGGGAGGCCAAGGCACACTGTGGGCAGGGAAGGTGGCGGGATGAGCTGTCATCCTGCCCCACAGCAGGGGCTTGAGTGATTGCTTGCTGCCAGGGGCCAGGGAGGATACAGAGACACATAAAGTTGCCTGAGACTGGTTCTAGTGATAAGTATCCCCTTACACCTGGGCTTTTCTAATCCTATCTTGTTGATAAATGAAATAAATCATCTTACAAAAGGTGTGAATTGTTTCCCTGGACCTTCTTTCACAGCTTGTCCAAGACTGCAGTACCAGAAGCACAGATTTCTGGAGTCAGTGCTGAGGACAGAGGCTCTGGTGTAGGAGCAAAAAAGAGTTACAGCTGGAGGCCCAGAGCCTGCCTCCATGGAAGAGCACTGTGAGCCCCCCACAACCCTGTATCCCCCATAAGACACTGGTGATGAGTGGCCCCTAACTGAGCACTGAACTCTCTGGTGAGAAGCTCTTTTCTGAACTTTGTCCACCTCCAGTTAGCTGGCTCCTAGCTCTGAGAAACCCGAGTCTGAGCTTCAGAAGCAGCCTCAGCAACTGGGGCCAGGACATGTAATCTGAAGAAGGGAGGAGGACCCTACCTGTCTGTCTCTGGCTTTTCTGGACCTCTTGGGTCTGTGTGGGTGATAGGAGCTGCCTACAAAGAGTGCCAGGTCACTCTTCACACATTGTCTTAAAAGTCTTGCTGGTGCAGCAGAGGGCCTCCCTCAGAGCTACCAGTTAGGGGTGCTGTGGTCCTGGCACCAATCTCACTTTCACACAGTGGAACATCGACCCGAATACCTTACTATCAGTAACCACCACAGGCCACCCTGCCTGGCACCTTCAACGGTGGTTTGACAGTGGTGACTTCCTGAGGTCTTGTCCTCTTGTCAGTTGGGCAGATCATAGGGCCAGGTGGGTTTTCTCTGTACTCTGGTACCTTCCAGAGCTGTTATGGGAGAGAGGGAGCAGGGTACGGCATGTGCGATTAGCTAGGAAGAAGGGGGTGGGGTGGAGAGGAGCAGAAAGGTGCTCTGGGCTCTTTCTGGATCTCTTAAGGATTTAGGGGGTGGTGTGTGGTGGGAGCTTCTGTCTCAGGGTAACAAGTAACCTTCCTCATTGATTCTTGGGGCCCAGGTACCGCTGAGGAAACATCCTAGTGCTCCTTCACTGCATTGAGACATTATGCATTTGCACTTCCTGGTGGCAAACCCATCATTGACCCCACTGGGACAGAATGGCCACATTCTCCAGGATTGACTCCCCTATGCCTGAAACTGACATGAACTTGGAATAGAGACCCTACTCTGGTCTCAGCCAGCACTTTCTGCTTCACCACTCTGCAGCCCAGGGCAGCAGCTTCTGCAGCACCAAGATCTCTGGAAAAGAGGAAAGTTAGACATGCCTCCCACTCCCATATATCCAAGCTTGGTGCCTTCTTCCTCCCCAGTGCCTCTAGGCTGAGGTGCACCTGACGCCCTCGTAGGACAGTGCGAGTGGGTTGGCAGCGGTCAGGAAGTGATCCATGGTGGGGGGCCTGGAAGTGCAGAAGCGCAGAAGCTAAGCTACTGGACGCCCGTGTGCTTGTCTGCTACAACCTGGTGAACGCCCTGCCATGCCCATGGAACAGTGAGCCATCTTCATGGTCTTGGTCCATTTGACATCTGTGAAGAACTTTGCCTCTGCCTTTATGAGCTCAGCTGTGGCTAGATACACTGATCCACCATGCCAGGATAAATTCCTGTGATCAAGCCCGTGAGCCATTTAACTCCCCCACTACAAGAAAACTACGTCAACCCCTTCCTGCAGAAAAGTCTGCTACTGCCCTAGCTGAAGACATGCCCCTAGCCACATGTTAGTGGTGCCCTCAGCTGCCCATACCACTAGGTGGCTCAACTTCACATATCCAAACCACCCAGTGGTGAACTGGTAGCAGGAGCTGTGGATATAAGCCAACAGTAAGCTGGCCAACATTGGCCAAGCTTGCCACCCAGCATGAGGGCACTGGTGTTAATTGCTATGCAGCCAACCCATGCCTGTGAATTCAGAGCTACTCCTGTGCCATGTTCTGGAATGGCAGTGCCCACTGGCTTGACTGATGCTGAGGGCACCAAGATGAGGTACCCAGGTACCCTCGTCCTGCACTTTATAGAAGGGCACTGAGCCACTCTACATGGTACATTGCCAGTACCCATGTAGAGGAGATCCCCCCCATACTGACAGATGACCTTTAGCTCACTAGCTGTATGAAGCCAGCAAAAGACTGGCAGGGCATAGGCCTGGGGAGGATGACGACATGAAGACCCCCAGCCTGAGGTCTTAGGTCCCATCTTCTCTGAGAAGTCCCCATCCCCAACCCAGGAGCCCACAGTGTCTGAACCCTATCCCAGCCCCTAGGGCTCACTAGACTTTTCTGAGGTCACACACCAAATTCTGGTTAAAGCTGGACCTGAGCTCCAAATCTCCTAACCCCCTGGCTTCAGTGCTTTCCATGGTACTTGATGACCCTGGAAAACTAGCTCCATGGCAGGTCCTAACCCTCAATTAGGCACTAAGGGGTTTGTAGTTTTTTGTTTTTTTTTTAAAGATTTATTTATACATATAAAACGTTGGTATAGGCCAGAGGTGCAGGGGGTGAGAGGATTCACCAGAGACAGACTGGGAAGCAGAACAGACAGATCGATGAAATACACTACTGAGAGGAGCTGCGGGCAGGTCAGAGTCTGCCATGCCATGTTGATCACCCCCCTGGCCAGAGATTGAACTCATGCTGTAATGGCTGTGATAGCTTCATAGTGCTGTGCTTTAACCACATTGTGCCACCAGGGAGGGCCCAAGGGGTTTGCAGTTTTAACATCCATGAATATTTTCTGGGGATTGAAGTTAGGTCCTGAACACCTTTTGTAGAGGGAAATGATGACTGATCTTTTTTTTTTTTTTTTCCAAAAATTTTTTTTTAATTAATGCATACAAAAACTGGGTACAGTCCAGAGATGCAAAGGGGCAGGTGTGAGAAGATTCACCAGAGAAAGAGTGGGGAGCAGAAGGTGGGTCAGAAGAGGCCTGCCGTACCATGTGGGTTACCTCCCTGACCCGGGATTGAGCTCCTGTTGCAGTGACTTCAGATAGTTTCATAGTGTTTCAACTCGTTCTGCCACCAGGGAGGGCCCAATGATTGAACATTTCTTCCTGAGAATGACAGTAACCCCAGATTGAGAGGTAGGAGGTAATGTGCCAGGCACTCTTCAGGAATTTGAATTTACTATTTCCAGGTCCCATCCATGGTGATGCTGATCAGTTCTGGATGAGAGCCTGGGAATTTACAACTTGATGCACTGCCAACATTGAAAGTTCTTAGCAATCATGTAGCTAAGTAGGTAAATTACCCTGTTTTGCAGAGGTGAGAGTAGGCTGCAGAGGGAAGGAGTTTACCCAAGGTTTCACAGATCGTAGAATAGGGGCTGAGATTTGAACTCAGGTGGTCTGATTTTCAGGGCTGTCTGCTATAATAAGGTGGATGCCAGGGAGTAAGGTAGGCAGGGTAATTGTTAGTGAGGTAGCCCATGCAAGTAGGGATGCTTTCCCAGGATGCTATAGGGCTGAGACCAGCGATCCCCACCCCAGGGCAATAATTCCTCCCCCAACCCCCAAAATGAACACTTAAACAATTAGATGTTAATGATGAGTGTGAAGGATGGGCATCCTCTAGGTGGTGCCCTTTACCAAAAAAAAAAAAAAAATTGGGGGTAGGGAGCAGGTCTGGAGGGAAGATAGTGGGAGTTTGAGGTGCCTATTCATGAAATCCAGTCCAGTTGGGGTGAGGGTCCCCACATGGTCTGTGCTTTAAAATCAGGAGCTGGGCTGTCACACGCTGCTAGGATGGATACTGCAGTTACATGGACCTCTGCTGGCCTCTGTTAGTGTCAGCCAATGCACACCTCCCTGGGAGGGACCCCAGCTCAGGGAGGGCACTGCTGAGGTCAGGGCCATGCCCAGGCTGAGCTGCCCAGAAGTGGTTGGGCTGTTTACTTGTCCCAAGAAGTGTTTGCATTTGTGACCACACGGGTGCAACTTCCCCTCCCAGCCCACCCCCTTCACCCACTGCCCTAGCCTCTATCCTGCACTATCACTGCTCAAGGGAGGGGCTCCTTGCCACCTCTGCCAACCTTTGTGTTGAGGCCTCTTGCCCAGATACCCACAGCATTGGGCCTGTCAGTGGCTTGTTACAATCCCCCTCCTCCAGCACTACACTACACTGCTGTTGGCTCCATTCAACTGAGGAAGGAAGGGGCCTTTCCTGATCTCCCTCTACCCTCCTGCCTCCTTAGAGAATATGATTCAGCCTGCCCCCCAAGAGAAGGCAGTTTGGCTCCCTGCTCAGGCTACCCTGCCAGTTCTCTCAAGTTCTCAAAATACAAGTACTTCCTTGCCCATTTTGTTCCATCCTCAGGCCTGCTCCTTCCTGCTCCACTCCTCTGCTTCCCAGACCAGAGTTCCCGCTACCACACTCCCTCTCTCTCTAGACTGGATTCCCTCACCTTCCCACTATCCCTCCCCTGACTTCCCCACCCCCTTCTCAGATTTGTACATCTCCCTACTTCTGATTCAAAAACTCCTTAGTCTCCAGCCCTGATTCCACCTTCCGGATTTCTCCTTCTGGTGATCCAACAGTCTTCTCAAGGGTAATCCCTTCCCCAGGGTCCCCAGCTCCCTTTCTCTCTTGACAGGACTGTGGGGTCTCAGTATATGAGCTCTCCTTTGGCCTCCTACTTTAGCCCTACCTATCTTTACCTCCACATTCTATAGGAGCCATGCCTGGGCCATTCTACGTCCTGGTCATCTTTCTAACGCCTCCAAAGCAAACCCCCTTCTATTGGGCTTCTGGGCCACACCAAGTCTACCCACAGACCTCAAGCACCCTGCACTAGCTCCTTAGCAGGCTTCTATTGCACTGGGTGGATAGGTGGAGGTGACCCAACATTTGGGCACTACAAAGGCCAACTGTGGGGGAGCAGAGGCCAGCTTGCTTCTTTGAATTGGGCTATCTGTGGGTCATTCCCAACCCATTTGAGACCCGAGGGGAGAAAAGTGTGTGGGATAGGGAGGTAGGGGGTAGTATGTGACACCCTTACCTCCCACCCTACTTTCCCACTCCAGCCTCGGCGGCTCAGTGAGAGCGCAGGGACGGCATCTCCAGTGGGTGTCGGGAAGGGAGGAAAGGCACCGGGGCTGCGGAATTCCTCGGGTGGCTCCCGAGCTTCCTTCCTCCTCTAACGCTCCTAGGGCCTCTTAAGTTCGCCCCGAAGTTTGCTAGCGGCCGCGTGGGGGCGGGACCTGCGTGGAGGGGTGGTGGCACGGCCGGAGGGTGGGGTCTGGCGCTTGGGGCGGGCGCTGCCGCCTGGCCGGCCGCGG